CCAGAAGTCAAAATATATGGCTTCACTCCAACCATTGCCACATTTTCAAGCTTTTTATCACACCATGAATGTTGACGTTTGTTGTTTGGTTGTCGTTAAAGGCTGATGATGTCGGCTCTTGAATGCGATGCCGACGTGGCAACACTTTGTTATTATCGAAGTGTAGGAATTTGCCGTTGCTTGTAGTGAAGATTCCGAGGCATATGTACATTCCACAATAGGCTTACAACCATAATTAGCCCAGCATGATCGAGTTCTCGGTTATTTATAAACCGACACATAGTAATTGATTCCCATGAATCGTTTGATTGCGTCCGACGTACTTCTTAAGGGGTTTTCAAGATTTTTCTGCACTGCACAGAGGTTGTTCTATTCGAAATCTACGCACCATTATTAAATAACTGCAAATAAATCATAACAAAAATGTATCCACAGAATTTCATACTTGCCAAATTTCGAACTCTCTATGCCTGACGGTTCCGCAAGGGATCAACCAATTTTATGTATCAATCTTTAAGCAATCTTTTTTTGTATACTTCGGAATTACAGAAGAAAAGCAAGTATTAATCATCGAAAATCATTGTTCTTTTCAAAACATTCTCCATTTGAATCGACACCCGCATGCTCTTGAACCAACTGTAGAGGCTTCTCTGATTCAGGTATTTTCAAAACATGCGTTTTGAACGCATCAACAGCCTAGTCAGATGTCGGAAACTGTTGATCTTTTACTTTACGAGTATTTTTTTACGTACGAAAATATAAACAAGTGATTTGGTGCCAAGTCAGGACTATACCCCGGTATCTAAGCTTAAAGGTCAAGAGCTACCAAACGGACAGAATTTTTCCTTTTCGGCCCAGATCTCTGGAACATCACCTAGGACGCAAATTATATCTGAAAATGCCAGCTGACACATATCTAGTTGGTTATGCGGTTCCGTTTTTTATTAAAGACTGAATCTTCTTAAGATATTAGAATGACCGTTGCTTATTATTATCCATTCGGACACATTCAGAGCCTACTGCGGCGCAGGCGGCGCTGTACGGTCCCATTACACCAATGAGAATCCACGAAGAGAACATTCATTGCCTCAGAATAAACGATTTTTTATCAAGTGCTGGCCACCAGACTACAACTCCATAGAGAAGTATAGGCCTAACAGCTGCGACATAGAGCCTACGCACTATTTCCGGCCTTTCGAACCTTTGCACGTATAGAAGGCTATGGATGCCTTCCTCACCCTTTCTTCTAAATTTTGCGACCAGCTGAATTTCCCTTCCAGGATGCGTCCCGAGAGCATTGGTGCTGAACATTTAGGAGTTTTAAAGTTCCTGGTGAAAAGAACGAGTTCAGTTTTATGTCGATTGATGCCCAGCTACCTAAGTCCGTTTTGCGTAATATCACACAAAGTTGGTGAAAATTTGCCGTTCACTATAACCGCCAGTTCGTCCGCATACGCTATGACTCCTCCTCCATATTTCTCAGCAGTTGGTTCACTGCCAAAACCTATAGAAGAGGCAAGATGACTCCACCTTGGTGGGTTGCTCTACTGACAAAACAAAGGGTCACCACTCCAGCGATCTCAGATTTTACGACCCTAGATCTGAGCAATTGGAGTATAAAATAAGTCACACAAGGATCGACGTCGAGGTAAGTCAAAGCAGAAGTAATTGCAGTACTGCTGCTAAATATCCAGAAAAGCCGTCAGGCTGACCTAAAAGTATCTTTCAATTTGTAATACCACCGTGTGCAAAGTTGCCTTCGTTGACCTGCCTTTCATATAGACTTGTTAATTTATCTACAGATTGTGATCCGCAGTAGACCTAATATGAATCTCCATCCATCGTTCCCTTCTCTTGAGTAGAAAGGATGTCAGACTTATTGGTCTGCAATCCTTCGGTTTACTGTGAGAGGTGTTTCCACATATGGGATCGAAAACAATTTTCGATTCTCTCCATAATAGTGGTTTAGAGTAATACGTTGTATAATTTTGACGATTTTTTTTTTTAATAAGGAACCTCATATCTGAATAAGCCGGTTGTATGGGATGTGAATGTTATAGCCGTCCGATTTCAATAATTTTCTGTTAAATGCTTTTTGGATAATTGTCAGCTGGATCTGAAGAGCCTGCATACTAGTATATACACACTGTGCCGTGGATTATTTTCACAGCAAGAAAAAGGTTGTGATTAACAGGAGCTATTGCCAGTGGAGTTCCACGAGCACAACAAACTGCGAGTCGCGCATACCGACTCGGGCTGTCTCGCTTGACTGCGACACGTTTGCACGGTCGCTTGCCCGGTTGAATGGTTGCTAACTGGAAAAGCAATTCACAATTTATACCCAAGCAACACGAAAAGGTTATTATTATATAAAAACAAAACTCAATTAAAAATTAAAAATTAGAAATTAATTTAAATTATTTTCTCGAACTGAGTTTCCAAATCTCGTCTGTACAGTTCAGCCACTGCTGATTGACTGTTGAAATGTTGTTGAGTCACACTTGAAACAATGCTGAGGATTCAATTTGAAGATTTGAGAAAACTGTTGCGATTTTATAATGTCTAATGACACACCTCTATACCATATGGTTTATTGGACTCCAAAATATGTTTATTATTTTTACGTTATACTTGCATGTATTATGCTGCACGTATAATATACGATACATATGCATATATATACATATGTTGCAACAACGATGCGAGTTTGCGCTAAAAATAATGAGCTCAACTGGTCTGCATCAGCGCACAAAAACCGGTGTTTTGGTGTTTTATCGTCGCCTTTGGCTATTTTTATTTTTGGTGTTGGCATTTTGTAATTTGTTTACGAATATTATTTTCGTATTTTCGTTTTGCCAATTTATGTGTTTAAATTTGTTTCTTGTTGCTGCTGCATGCCACTACATACAACATATGTTTGTATTTACTTGACTTGCCTTGTTGCTAAGCGAATTTTTCGCAGCAAATTGTGAATGCAACTTATTTTAAATATATACGTTTGAGTGTGTGTGCGTGTGTGTGTTGTTGTTGTTGGTTTGAGTAACACAAGTAAGAGTTAACAGTTTCCATATTAATAGTTAAATGTACATACGTATGCACTACCTATTAGCGGTTTCGTGTGTGCAGTGAAATTGTTGCTGTTCGAGTTGCCTCTACTGCGAGCCACGCTTCCTGCTGCATTTCTCTTTGTTGGGCAATGTTTTTCACTTGACATTCATTTATAGGTTAAATAAATCCGACGCGAAATATACAGAAACACAACTACAATTAAAGTAATGTAGGAAAACATAAAATAACCACCGATAATCCCTTAAAATAGTCATTCATTGTTACTACTACTACGGCTATGCTGGGATTGAAACTCTTGAAAAACATTACCATATGCAAGGACGCTATTAAAAGTAATGCAGACAACAACTACTTTAAATAAATTAAATGAAATTACATAAAATAAAATAAAAAAGAATCAAAAAGAATACAATAATATAATATAAAATAACATAATATAATATAAAATAAAATAAAATAAAGAAAAAAAATTCAAAAAAATGGTATAAAAAAAAATAAAATAAAATAAAATAAAATAAAAAAAAATAAAAAAAATAAAATAAAATAAAATGAAATAAAATAAAATAAAATGAAATAAAATAAAATAAAATAAAATAATATAAAATAAAATAAAATAAAATAAAATAAAATAAAATAAAAGAAAATAAAATAAAATAAAATAAAATAAAATAAAATAAAAGAAAATAAAATAAAATAAAATAAAATAAAATAAAATAAAATAAAATAAAATAAAATAAAATAAAATAAAATAAAATAAAATAAAATAAAACAAAATAAAATAAATTAATTAAAATATAATATAATAGAATAAAGAACAACAAAGCGGAAGACTAGTTAACGCTAAGAAATTCATTTTTTACAATAAGTACAGCATACATTAGCAGAACAGTTTTTTTGTGGATATAGTCTCATTCTGTAACCACAAAAATTCATATAACATCATTATAAAACAGAATTTGTATTGAAATAGTTTTTTAGGCTTAACATGTTGCGGAGACGAAGGAATATAATTCTTTCTTTAAATATTAGCTTTATCTATATTTCTAACCAATTTTCGGCTACAAAGGACACAAAAAATTAACAAAGTCAATTTCATTACTACACAGCTCCATTATTTGCATGCTAAAGACAGATTAACACTCCGGAGCGTGAATAATACGAATCGCCAAAGCAGACACCTCCAACACGTGTACCAACTACCTAGCTGAAAACCCGTTGGTTTTAAATGATTTCTGGGAATGCTCGTATTTGTCGGCTGCTAAGCAACTATTACAATCAGCAATTAACCTGTTTCTACGAAAATAGATTTTATTAAATAATTAATTTTCTTTTAAATTATAATGAACAATTGCCAATATATAAACAAGCCATTAAGCGCAAGTATTAAACCTGAATACACGTAGTGTTGAAGCTCGTTTTCTAACTGAGGCAGAGAAAAAACACAGTGAGAGAAAAAGAGAGAGAGAGAGTGAAAGAGTGGAAAAGAAGGCGAGCGCTTGAGTGATCATGCACAAGCCAACTCTCTTCATATTTCGAGTGGGAGCTTGTGAATAATTTACTTAACACGCTTATAGAGCGCACAATTTTGCCGACAACTCATTTGACAATGATCATGCCAATAATGATAATATTAACCGGCGAGCGAGATGATCGTGATAGATGAATAACATTATTTTATTTGTCTCTGAGACGCTAATCGAAACCTAAACGTGATCCAAATTATGAAGTTGGTTTCATACAAGATCAGCGAGATGTGAAAGATCGTCAGTGACACATGCATACACACATGCACAATTGCATACCAGTTTGTCTTAATACATATTTACCTCTACAGGTTATATATGTACACATGCATGTATGTATGTGAGCGATTGAGTTATTGGTAATTTAGTACCAGTAATGAAAAACAGCTTGCCAACAATTGGCGATCGCAACGCAAAGGTGAGTTCAGTTGGAATCTGATACTCGGTGCGAGCGAACGTTGAGCGCAGGCGAAACACGTTGACGGCGAACGTAGCAAAGACGACGACGAATCGTCCCAACAACGATTCCGGCTTTTTGTATGAATATTTATTTTGGGGTTTTTTCTTCGTTTGATATAAATAAATATAAATAAAGCTGGAAACGAATCAGACCGAAAAATTGTGGAATTAATTTGTATTATTAAATTATAAATTTTTTGTTTGCATGTTATTTGTGTTTTGTGCCGCGAGCGGTGAGAAAATCTCAAAACGAGGCAGTTAACTGTTTAAAGTGCGAAATTTAGTGAAAATGATATGATAAATAAATTTTTATTATTTGAATTGCCGCTTGTGGATCGACAGGGTGTGCATAAAGTAAATATTTTTGGTGTCTAAAAAAAAAAATAAAAAAATAATAACAAATATATGAATAAGAGACAACTGCAAAATTTTTGCGAAAAAGTTTAATTGTGTTAGTTTTACTTAAAATTTTTGGCGTTAACTGACTGAATTTCAATAAAAGATTTAAATAAAAAATATTTATTAACATTTATAGCAAAAAAAAAAAGAAGTTAATCAATATAATTAAATAAATGAGTGAAGAAAAATAAAAATAATAATTAAAAAACGATAAATAAATAAATGTGAAAATTTTCAAAAAAATATTTGTAACCTTAAAATTATAATTATCGTTTGTGAGAGAAACAAAAATTAAATAAATAATTTCTTTATTATTTAAGAGCATCGACAACAAAATTTTTATTAAAAAAACGCCCAACCGCCGACTAAAAGTTGCATTGCAAATTAACAGTAAAAACAAAAGTAAAACCAAAAACAACAACTGCGCCGACGAGTTTTGCATTTTTGATTGGAAATTAAAAATATTGTCAAAGCAAACAAAAAAATATACATATATATATATACATAAAACCTTTTAAAGCAATACTGAAACGCTAAGCGCTATTTTTTCTACATTTTTTTCTGCTACTGAGAAAAATTAAAAATTTGCAATTTTAATTAATTAACATTTGTATACAAGAAATAAAAATAAAAATTATCACAACCAAAGGCATTGCCTAAGCATGTGCATGAAAAATTGTTTAAAGCAAATATAAAACAAATAAAAAAAATAAAAGTAGAGGTGACAAAGTCGCAAAGAAATCAAGAAACCAGTGGAATAGCAGCAAATAAAGTAAAATAAAAGTAAATAACCAAAAAAAAATAAATAAATAAGTAAATAACAAAATGGTTACTTCATGTCTTGTTTCAAACGACGACAGCTGCGACGAGCTTAGCGTCAATAACAATAATAATAACAACAAAAACAACCACAACAACACTCGCAAAAACCGGGTGAACAAAATCAACAGCGACAATAGCGGCAATAGTAGCAGCTGCAACAGCAACAGCAACAAAGCGACAATATTCAACATTAAAAAAATTCAACTACAACAACAACAGCAACGAAATACGTCTAATTGTGAAATGAAAAATTCAAATGTAAATAATTTTACAACACTTCGCATATCCCTGATTGGGATTTTGACATATTTGGCCGTGGCCAATACAATTGTTGCGGTACAGGGTGCTGCGGTTTACTCCAGTAAGTGCTTATTAACTTCAAAAATTGTATTGTTAAGTATTAAGCCATTCTTGATATACATACATAAAATGGTTATATGAATTCATATAGCAACTGTCATATAAATAAAATTTGATTACTAAAAAAATTAATTTGGATATTAAAAATATCAATTATTGATATTACTGAAATAGTTACTTATTTTTTTAATTGTCAATTAGCTGTCTCAGTTGGATAGTTGAGCTTAATGAAAGGCGGCAATGAAATAAAAATAAGCTTAAAATAATTTCTAATAGAGATTAGCTACAACAAAAAACACTTGTTAGTTTTAACAGAAAATTATTATAATAAAAATGAGCACACAGAAAATAAGAGAAAATCTTGCCTAAGGTGACCCCTTTTAGATAATAGAAGCCACCGGCTATTATTTTAAATAAAATAAATATTTATATTCGGATGACAATTGAACAGTTCTAATAAAATTTCATATCCTTTGACTCACCTGTGAGTTGTTTGTAATAAAATATATTTTTATTAAATTATTAACCCTTTTATTTTCATATCTTATAAATGCAAAATTTAATTTCATTGCTTTGATTTGAGATAAGATCTAAGATAAGAGGATCTACAATATGATATATGTGCACATACGAGCATATATGATGATTAAATGATTTTTGTATGAAGAGCGTCTGCAACCGGTTCGCGCAATCTGACACTGACAATTAAGCATTGGCGACAATAGCAACACCAAAACAACACACACTGAAAAAATAAAAATAAAAAAAAAACAACACAAGTGACGAATTGACCGCAATTGACCGCCAACCATTCGAAGAGAATCAAGTGAACATTAATTTTGCAGCAGAATAAAGATGTAAACATACATACAAAAATAATTAGACAATGCTATCAGTAGTAACAAAAACACATAATAGAGGTGAGAACATAAAAAATAAAATTAAATCACAAAAAAACCAGATCGAAACAATACAGAATCAAAAAATAAAATAAAATAAAATAAAATAAAATAAAATAAAATAAAATAAAATAAAATAAAATAAAATAAAATAAAATAAAATTAAATTAAATTAAATTAAATTAAATTAAATTAAAATAAATTAAATTAAATTAAATTAAATTAAAATAAATTAAATTAAATTAAATTAAATTAATTTAAATTGAATTAAATTAAATTAAATTAAATTAAATTAAATTGAACAAAAAAAATATATAAATCCAATAAATTAAAAAAACTTAAATAAAATAAAATAAAGTTGAATAAAATAAAATAAACTAAAATAAATAAATGAAAATATAATAATATAATAAGAATTCTGGAATTCACTACTCAACATCAAAACATAAGTTAACGCTATAAGTGTCTGTTTGTCGATACGATTTGAATTATGTATTAGCCAGTGGCCAAATTTGGATGCAGCCAAAAGATTTGTCAACGTAAATTTAGCTCGTCTACGAACGTCTATTTAATTGCTTACCACTTTTGTAGATAATGCAAAAAAAATTGAATATATGATTTCTAAAAGTAAATTTTAATTATTCTTAAATGGTTTGAATTATTCACGTGTGGGGCATGGAATTCCTGCTTTCATTCATGAAACCAATATATATAAATTAATTGAAATACTGCGATAATGTTATTTATTTTTGTAAATATGTTACCATACCTATGGCAAAATTTAAATTGCCAAAATCCAGTAACGGCCCTCACATTCTTGAATATATATAAATGAAAAAAAAAAAACAACCTCGCTTTATACAATCCAGTTAGTACAAGAGAATTCTAAATTATTCCGAATTGGGAGCAGAAAACTAAAGTTTTTTAGGTATATTAAAATTAATTATTTTAGTAAAGTCAGAAAGAGAGTGGGTTAAAATTTTATATAAACTAATTGATAGCTTCTACCAAAAACCAACGCAAAACATATGTTTTAAGCTCACGTTCGGCTTACTATTAAATAATAAATCTGTAATTATTTTCCATTAACTATTTCACATGTTTTTCTTACATAAACCATTTGTATGCTTGTATCATTGTCACACCCCCTTGGGTTAAATTAATTGACCTTAGCATTACAATTAACAAAAACTTTACATTATATAAGATATAATTAAACTCACGTGTAAAACTATTAATTGCAAATGCATTAGCATTGAGTTTTCAAGTTTATTTTATTAAAAATCATTAATAATAAAATTCATTGCAAAAAGAAAAAAAATATTATGAATTTAACATTAGCAGCTCTATCGAACTTGATAAATTTGAAAGCATTTTGCTACTAATAATTAAATAAAAAATTAGAACAAATAAAATATAATAAATAAAATAATTTGAAAATTACTAGCTCCTAATGAAATTAATAAACATAATCATTTGAGTACTTCACATATGTTAGCCACAACGAGCGCAACACTTTTAGCATATGCAGGTAGATAATATCCTCAGCGGATGATCTTACCAATATATCTTCAGGCAAATATCTTAATCGGCTGTCACGCGAAATGGAGCGTGCATATGGTATCTCGACTGGGCGGGCTGAAAGACAAGGGTTCACTATAAGCCCGCAAAAATCTGAGACCTGCCTCTTCATGATGTAGACAAAAACTCAACAATTTAACCTACCATCCTTAAGGGAAGCTGAAGGAACCATATTAACAGCAGAATCAACAAAGTGCTTCGAGCTTGAAGTATCCACAGAATGGCTATTGGGCCAAAATGGGGTCTGCGACACGTTTGCTTTTCGCAAGTATCCATATTAAACTGTGGATGCCGACACTGAAGAGAATCAAAACTCTAGAACGGGTGAGACATACCTGTTTACTAGGTAGAGCAGACGCAATGAGAACTACTTCGATAAAAGCTCTGGATGCCAACCTTTATATCAGGCCAATTGACATTGCAGTGAAGCGCATGGGGGCTTACAGAAACTTTTAAGAAAATTTCGGTCTAAAATGCAGAGCCACCGAGAAAAGGGAACTTTCAACCAGGAACAAGCTACCTACTCCTTCCCTAGCGAAGAAAAATGGAGGAAAGTTAAAGTGATAACTAATACTGCAGATATCGTCATCAATACGAATCGGTCAAAGTGCAAGGCAGCGGGTTTTTCTGTGAGCACCCCAATAGCCAAGGAAGCGTGGAGTGAATGATTATAACTTTGACTACATGGAGGATTGTGTGCCTTACTGAAGGCAGCAAAGGGACAACCGCGTTAATAGGGAAATATATACGATATCTTATAGGCAGCCACATGGAAATTAAGTTCTAAGAATGTGAGAACATGTAGAAAGGCAATAAATAATAATAGAATAAAAGGTTAACACTGTGAATACAATGTGGAAGAGCAGATAAGTTGGGTCGCGCAAGCTATGTTGTCGCCTCAGATTTTTTGCGCCTTCAAATATTGTTAAGAATTGTGGAACCGTTGAGAGTACTTAAGGGCTTAGACGATACCAAAGTAGGGTATGCGACAAATCATATATTAAGCAGCGTGAATTGCAGGCCGACCAAACTGTTTTTAGCACTAAGCAAAATAGAACTTATCATTCTTATAGGTGACCCTGAGATGTCATCTGCCAAGCCAAGTGAAGAGCCTGTTCAGAGGAGGATGCCGATGGTGACTTGAAATCTTCGACGGTGCTTCAAGCTCTAGCCTTGATGGAGATGGATTTACATGGGTGGCAGCAAATGAAAATACTTATTAAATATAGTTTGAACTGTTCGCCAAATGATTATTGGGATAAGCAGGAGAGCACAATAAGCCTATTCAACGGTATTGGTACCAACAAACCAATCAACCAACCATCATACAGTTGTTGTGTTATCTCATAATGCTAATAAACAAGCTTTTGCTTACATAAAGTCTATAAAAATAATTTTAATATAATTAAGTATACACATTTGCAATAAAACACGACTAATTGAGTTCAACGGAAAGGTGCAAACATTTGTCTCCCTTGTCTCCTCTCTCATTTCCCTTTGCTATTCTCGCTTTATTAATTGCACTTAACACGAATATACGCTGGAAACATTCTACTAGAACTTAAAGTAGCATTGGAAGAATAACGTTAACGATTCTCATGAATGCCCGCACTTACAAGTTATAATAAATATTTTTTTTTTCTTTATAAATTATTCAAAAGAAATTCACTGTTAAATAGAAGGGAGAATGAATTGGTAATTACCACTACCGTAACATTTTTAACCGTTCATATGGCACATAAAATAGCATACTCTATGTACGTACGTGTATGTATGTATGTATGTATGCATGTATGTATGTATGTATGTATGTATGTTAGGATGTAACTTAAGAGTAAAAAATGATGCAACACAAGAAAATAAGCGCAGGCAATTTACGTGCTCGAAATGAAGCTGTGAATGAAGGTATGCTGCGCTGTGTTGCTGATAGATATTATAGCATTACCGTTAAAATTAGAGAAAGAACTAAAATCCATATGAATTTGATATAATTCACAGTGGCTCTAATATGCACCGTTTAGTTTCATGAAAGTTTATATGTATATTTATATTCCACATTGTAAGCGGTAAATTTTCGATGCAGTACCCGTCAGAGGAAGCAGAGGAAGAGGAAGACCTCCACTCCGTCGGAAGGACCAGGTAGAGAGGGAACTGGCTCGCCAAGCAGCGAGCAAAAGTAATGTATAGCGCAATATTATAAGTTCGGCTATAATCGCGTAAGCAGTGTCTACGCCAATAAAGTAAGTAAATAAGTGGTAAATTATTTTTACCTAATTTCAATGTGGCTTTTAGTTTAACGGGTGCAGCTTAAATATAGAATAATAGCTGTATGCTTGGCTCGTGCGGAAGTGCTGCGCGGGCATTAATTACAATTATTCGCCTTCGGCATTAAGTGATACTTCAAAGGTCAATTATATTTCTCTTGGACACCTGCTCATATCTGTATGCACATATATATACAATTTAGATAAAAATTTTGAAAATAAATTAGGTCATACAACCGCGTGGGTGCAGTATAAAG